CCACCTATAGAATATACTCAAATGGTCTAATTTATCATCTTCTCTGAAAGATGCAACATCTATTTAAGAACGTAAGTTAGAAATTGATATAGGGGTATTCGGTCTATTCGCAGATCTTGACATGTGGCATCAGTCATACGCATCCCGCCCATCCTATTGACCCTGACACGTGGCATTGGCCAGATGTATTCTGATCACCCATCACCAATCACTACCAACCGTCACCACCTGTTCTCAACTATTCTTCCTCTTAAGCAATTCCGACTATAAAAAGGGGCTCCCACATTAAGATAAACATATATTGGAACTTAGGCTCTAAGTCTCCTCTCTTACTTGGTCCGACCCCTAACAGCTTTCGACTAACTTGATCGTCGAAGTCTCCACCCCTAGGATACCTCCTAGAGCCTCTGACATACTTCTTCTTCTCTCAACAAGTTGGACTCATTGGCCTTATACGCTTGAAATTACGTTATTATCATTGGCTCCGTATTTAGCAACAACATATATTTAATGCCCTGTTTATGCCCTAAACGACAGATTCATAAATTGATCGGCAGAAATTACAAAACTTAAACCCATTATTGATGATGAGCCCTTATATTATTGACTAACATCAATATTTATGTTCTCAGCAACACACCAAGCACTAAATCACTCGTAAAGGGCTTCTGCGATCACACCTTAATTCGTCACCAAAGCGATCTTCCTCCCACCTGCTCCGGTTTTATAGCTAGTCATCAAGTTTTTTAAAATTGAACCAGACAATAAATCAGTTATGGGTCCGGTTTTTTGGTCAAACAGTCTGATTATTCGAATTGAATGGATGACCTGTTTTGACAAAAAGTTAAAAAAGTTAAAAAAATTAAAAGAAAAATAAAAATGGCTAAAACCACTGAACGGTTCAAACAATTTGAACGATTTGATCACCCGAATCAGCAGTATATTGATCAAATCAACATTTTTGGGCAAATTAATGGTTTTGGGGTAAAACAGAACTGATCACCTAACTGATTTCCGATTTTTCTGATCCAACCATCCAATCCGATCCGGTTTTGAAAACCATGCTCGCCACTACGGAGGAGGCATCGGTCTTAGCCATTAGCAATTTCGCTGTGTATATGACAACATTAGCTCCGAATCTATGAGTCCCAGACGCCCACAATACTCCACCATAGACGATCGAGAACATTCCGATCACGTTGCATGATGCGAGCATAGTTTCCTTGTCCTCTATTGGTATTGCTTGCCCAAACTGCTCCGTTGTTACCATAGGTAACAAGGTTCCCGTCACTCTGCATTTTTACAAAGTAGTTGGAGCTCTTCATATACGTGCCGGATCCCCAGAGACAGCCCAGAGATCAGGTTGCAGTCACCCTGCATGGGCAGTCTATAGTTCCCATTTTAGAGTAACTGACCAGAATAAAGACTGTCGCCTGTGTAGAGTATGTTTTCGCCGGTGCTGATTGAGGCAAGGAGACCAAAGATGGCCGGAAGGATGAGGAGAAGCTTGGCTTGAAGTGGAATTGCAATTGGTAATGGTAAGCAATATTGAGACTATGCTTCTCAAAGATTTGGTGCAACACTTTTTTCTTTTTCAAAAGAAACAAAAATGTACTACACACAACAGGGGTAGTACGTCCCTGAAAGTTAACAGCACAAATAAGAAGAAGAGAAGAAAGAAAAGATGTGAGAGAAAAAAAAAGAAAGAACCTCCGGAGCCAGCCAGTCAGCCGCCTGATTTTAAAAGATTGTACTACACTGGGGTTTGGATATTTTGGAAGCACAATTTATTTGTTTTGGTATAGATTGATGTTGTTTGGTTTCACGCATAAACGAATAACAATCAACTCAAAGACAGCCAAACAATGTTTTTTGCAATCAAAGTGTGGCTTACAAAATATATTATCATCATTAGGATTTTTTTTTCAAGGGAAATTGTCTAAAACTCACCATGAGTTTTCAACATCTCTTAAACTTACCACAACTTTTCAAAATCTCTAAAACTCACAATGTCACTAAGTTGACATTAAATAGACTAACGGGCATTAATATATTACCATTTTAACCTTCATAGAAAAATATAAGATATATACAAAATAAATTAACAGGTGTTAATATATTACCATTTTAATATTTAGACATGAAAAATAGAAAAAGTTCAAAAAAATATTTTCAAATATAAAATACATAAAAACATAGAAATTACAAAAACATAAACATTATAGAAATTGCAAACAAAAAATTATTTTTAAAATAGAAACTATAGAAATTGAAAAACAAAATCAGAAATAAAAATTGTAGAAAAAACACCAAAAATTTATAGATTGTAGAAACTAGAAAAATGTAAAAAAAAAAAAGTTATAAAAAACATTGGAAATTATAGCAAAACATTAAAAATGCAAAAAAAAAAAAAAAACAAGAAAATTGAAAACTGAAAAAGACCATTTTTCCTCTAACTCACCATTCAAGGGTAATTTGGTCATGAAAGTTGTTATTTATGCTGACATGGACACCTCTGTTAAGAAGCATTAACGGTGCACTAATGGAAGGTGAGTTTTGGAAAATAAAAACTAACTGACATGGTGAGTTTTAGACATTTTGAAAAGTTGTGGTGAGTTTAAGAGAAATCTTGAAAACTCATAGTGAGTTTTAGACAATTTTCCTTTTTTCAAATTTTCTTTTCTCTTTTTCGGTATTATATCATGGTGAAAAATATCAGCAAGCAATATTTTCGAACCATCGTTGACCCCAAAACCATCCAAGCAATCGGTTCCATTTCACCCTTAACCTGGTCCTTGGCAAAGAACCGTTGATTTGACCACTGACCTATTGACTTAGGTGACTGAACCATCGACCCAAATAACGGTTTTGACCATTTTTTATTTTTTAAATTAGAACAGACCGTCCATTCAAACTGGATGATCGAACCACTAACCCCAAAACCAATGGCCAAAGCAGTTATGGTTCCAGATCAATTTTTAAAACCTCAATATCAAATTCAGGGGTACAAATTTCTCTTCTCTTCTTCTACTTTTGCAAGTGCAGCTTACATCATACATAAGTTGGCCTCTTCTATCACCCCAAAGGCCCAAATAATATAATAGCATAAAGCTCCAGCTCTATGGTGTGAGATTCATGCCTAAAGTTGTATCTTTATTTCTCTCCGATCGATTATTTTTTTGCCTATTAATTAACTTTATGGTGAATCCACTAGATCAGATTTCACATTCAATGAACACACTGACACCTTCTATAAGTATTCTAAGAGGCAGCTATCTTACCTGGATTGATCAGGAGTATTTGCCAATTCATCGAATAAGAATTGGCTTGAAGTACATTTGTAAGTGCTTATTTTAACAATCACTTGTTATTTAGTAACCCATTTGTCGAATCACTTATTGAGTTTTAAGCGCTTATTGGGGTGGGGATGTTTGGTGAGCTAGTATTCACACAAAAGCTAATTTTATTTTAAATGATAATTTTAACCCTCATTTCATTTACACATATAAACAATTTAACAACAATGATAATAATAATTATTATAATAAATAATAATAATAATAATAATAATAATAATAATGAAACCAAAGATGGTATATTATGTTGTAGCCATTGCCGACTGAGAAAAGGAGACCAAAGATGGTCGGAACGATGAAGATAAATTTGGCCTGAAGTGGAATTGCCATTGGTAATTAATCAACCAGGCTATGTGTCCCCAAGATTTGGTGCAGCCCCATTCATATACTGTAGTAGGTGCTTTGTCGATATTTTGGAAATGCAATTTATTAGTTTCGGATTGATGTTGTTTGCTATATATATGAGCAGATGGCAATCAATTCCGCAACAAACCAAATGTGAACTTTTTTTTTTTTTTTTCAGTCCAAGTGTGGGTTGCATTCGGATTGTTGTTTTTTTCAAGTCTGGGTGGGTTGCATTAGCAAATCCCTCCCTTTACTTTTCAAAGAAATATGCAAAAGACCTCTCTTTTGATACTTTTCTAACGGAAAACAATGAAGTAATGCTTTAATTTTTTTTTTTTTTAAATCCCACTTTTACACATAATAAACTTCGTTGGGGAGAATGCTTATTGAATTGACCTTATAGACATGCAAATTTTTAAGCAAAATAAAGAAATGGGCTTAATTTGTATAGAAGTCTCTAAAGTTAACATAGGCCTAAGTCTAAATAGACATGACCCATGGCCTAATGAATCCAAGTAGTAACTCAAGCTATAAACATGACCTTGAATTCAATTCAACTGATCAATACCTCCCCTGAATTTTCTGACACAATTATAAGTAAATCCCTTTCATTAGAATATGTTAAGGGTCAAACAGGAGACAGGAAATGTCAAAAACACCCATAAGTTTCTTTTTACCAAAATGTTTATTTTTCAAATTACTTTCATATCAATTGCCACCAAAACCTTTTCAATCTCCTTTTCCAAAGAAATTGATTTATTTTCAAAATTATTCCTTTATATAAATCACTGAAAGATAAAATTTTAAACTCAATAGCAACTTTATGGATAATTTGGATATTTTCATGCCTCCTGTTAGTGGATTCTAACAAAGTGTATTTACTTGCAAGTTTGTCAAAAAGATTCAATGGAGATAATTGCAATTACCAAAATTAGAGTGGTTTCAACAATGTTAAAAAAATAACGTAGGAAGAGGTTTCAGCAATTTACCCTAATTTTATTAGAGTTTCCCCGTCCCCGGTTCACGTGTAGAATAAACTTAATTAAACAAATGTATTTATGTTCTTTGAGAAATATATAGAAGATCAACTTAAGGACGTTAGATCTTTAACCCCCATTAATTATATATTTCCTAATTAAACAACGGAAATTCTTTAATTGATAGACAGAAATTACTAAATTAATAAAATAAAACCCAATGATGAGTCGTCATTAATAACTTTTAATCATCTCTTATTTTTATTCACCAGCTGCAACGTACACACCAAACACATGCATGAAGGGATTTCTGATCACGGCATCACATCTTGGTCGGCATAGCGATCTTCCTCCCACGTATTCCGGCATGAGAAGTCGCCCCTCCGGAGGCCTGGGTCTTATTCATGCCACCTGCAAGCTTGCTGTCTATGACAACAGTGGCTCCGAATGTATTAGTCCCAACACAGGCTCTGAAGGTATTAGTACCAGACGACCACAATGAAGGACCATAGACAACAACATTGCGATCACGTTGCAGAACGCATACATAGTATCCTTCTCCTTTAGCCGTACCGCTTGACCAAACTGGTCCACTTGTACTGTAGATTACAAGATTGCCGTCACCCTGCATTGTGGTATAGCAGCCGGAGCCCTTCCCATATGTGAAGGATTCCCAGACTTTATTGTCACTGTCATATAAGACCAGATTGCAGTCGCTCTGCATGGTCAATCTATAGTTTCCATTGTTGAACGACTCACCAGAATTAAGACTTTTGTCTGTGTACAGTACGTTTTCGCCGGTGCTGACTGAAGCAAGTAGACCAAAGATGGCCGCCGGTAGGATGATTAGAAGCTTATTAACCTCAAGTGGAATTTCCATTGGTAATTATCACTACGTACACTACTCTCCAATCAATCAGATTATTCGTAGACGTCCCAAATTAAATCTTTGGTGCAACCCTAATTATAGACGATTGCATGCAGTAATGGGGGGTTGGGTATTCTGGAGATAGGTGTTTGGTTTGGTGCAAAAGAAGCATAACAATCATCTCAGCGATAACCAAACAACATCGGTTAATCTTTTGCAATCAAAGTGTGTGGGTTACACGGAGTGATCAAGAGTACTTATTGCCAATTTCTTGCTTTAAATCATTTCGTGTGTAGGCCCAGTATTGTATGTACCTCTTGAATCCTGATGATGAGAGACTTCTCTAGATAGCTACCAATCTACCATGGGGGGACTCTCTCTTCTTCATGTTTTATTGTCCGTCCGATTAGTGGATCTTTTCTTCTGTTGGTCAGCAATCAGCATAAATTATATGGAAAAGTACGGATTTGTTCAATGCAGATTTCTGATTTACATTGTAGGGTTAAAATATTCAAATGGATCGATACTTACACTCTATGCACTCATTTTCGCTTGTAAATTGGCATCAATTTCGACCTGACACCTAATTAAACCTACAAATTCTGACACTGGTTCAGTTTCAATTACCTTGTCACCTTGTATCCCATTTGGGAAATATACTGAGGAATATAATTCACCCTGGGGTTGCATTAATATATAGGATTCACTCGTGACGGCTTTTCTTCATGGTGGCTACCTACGTTCTTTACATTGCAATTTCTCAACGAATCATAGACCATTTTTTTTTCATAACTTTAGTTCATGGCAAACTGAGAGGGAGGGGCAGCATAGTAAATGTAACAAAACATTTATCTTGGGATGTCGTATCTCTAGATTAAGGAGGTTTTGAAAAGTCAGGGTAAGTTTAAGAGAATTATAGAAAACAAAAAAAAATGGAGAGTTTTTGGATTAATACAGAAAATTCAAGATAAGTTTAATAGAAATGGAGAAAGCATACATTTACTCTGCTTCATACTCTGGATTGTGAGATTGTTTGTATTACCATTGACCAATGCATGATGGGCACGTTAACATTGTATTAGGAGTTGTGAAATCCATCAATTTGTCCTACATGAGATCGAGTGTTTGTGGGTTATACGCACATGATCTGATTTTTTTAATGGATGACGTGTCCTTATTTCATTTGTTGTGTTATTGATGTGAGACCAATCATAATGCCCGTTGGCACCCATCATGGATGAGATTGATTGACTGTTTGGGTTGTTTGCACTTAGGAGGGTTCTTATTGTCCTAACAGCAAAACACAAAATCTCACCCTATCATCTCAATCCTATACACTGCTCAAAATACAGAAATCAATCAGAAACCAACAAAACCTTTAACCTATACAACAGATGGAATATCAAAATAGTCACATCTCTCAAACATGCATGTTTCATACTTATATGTTATTATTAATGGAAATCATATTATGGACATGATAATCATGTTTAAATTGTAAGGCTATGGCCATGTTGGAAGTAATATTGCTAACAGATTCGGACTCTTGGATTGTAGGTAGACTTGTTCATGGTCCGGGTAGTTCGATGGCTTGGCCCGGCCTGGCTCATACTCCGGTTGGGTTTGGTCATGTAATTAGGCCTGCGGGCTTGATTTAGGGCCTAACATAGTAAGCCCGATTGTGTTTCAGGTCGGGCTCGGGATTTGTTAAAAAAGTCCTACCCGAGCCCGGTCCGGCCTGACTCAGCATTATATATTTTATAAAATATATAATATGTATTTTATATATTATATAAAATATACAAATAAAATAAGATTTATTGAAATATATATTTATAATTTCATATATACATTTTTTATTCTTTTCTTTATAATTTCTCTCTCTCTCTCTTCAGCCACTTCAGCAGTAGTAACAGTATGGGCTAAATTTTGGGCTCGGGCCCAAGCCCGGGCTTTAAGCTTTTTATGAGAGCCAGGCTCGGGCTCGGGCCTTAGAAAAATCTATTAATACAGAGCAAAAGCCTGATCCAAACCTAGCCCGACCTGGCACATGAACAGGTCTAATTGTAGGCTCGTATCATGAACTGACTTGACATTATTGCAATACTTCCTTGTAACCCTCTGCTTAAATAGGGCACACGTAAAATCAAAAAATAGAAAAAAAATATATGAATCAGTGATAAAACGGCACCTCTAAAATATGAATAAATGAAGGGAAAATAATTAACTGAAATCTTAATCTAATGTATAATAAATATTTGGAAATACAACGGTACGTACTATTGGTGGAGCACTAAGAGGAAGGAAAGGTTTATCATAGAGGGACCGAACCATAATTCTTTCATTATTGATAAGTGACCAATGATTTCCGGGGTATAATGAACCTGGGTTGTCATTCCTAGCTGAAGAGAGAAAGGGGATAAGGAATGGTTTAGACCGTTCGAATCTGACCTACTAAAGCCACACTCAGGGTTTCCTCGGAATGGCGGTTGACGATACTGGTGGGCCCGTAGGCCAAATTTCAAAACATTTATGAGAATTTTACAAGAATGCGCTGGCTACAGGTAGTGGCCAAGGGTCATGGTTGAGATAGAAGTAGAAGTGATCAAGGAAAGAATAGGGTTTCAACTTGGGTGGGTTCAGGTTGAGATTTTGTTAAAATTTAAATGAATTCATCCTAAATTCCCAATTTAGATGAGCTCAATTGATATTTGGTACAAGTATTTAAGTTTTTTTTTTAATTATATTGTTACTTCTATTAATTTTCAATTTCTATCCTAATTATGATATATCTAAAATTCAAGTAATTAATATGAAAAAAATTCTTACGTGCAATGCATGTGTTTAATTACTAGTTTCCTACGAATGCATTTAGAGACAATGCAAATGGAGTGTAAATCCGGGTTCATGGTAAATTTGCACTCTGGTTCATTTTTGCTTGTGTTTGGCAACATTACATTTATGCACCGACAAATAACAGACCAATGAATATTTACATTGATAATAAGATGTAAAAGTACATCAATAAAAAAGGTAAATTTGCATTCAAGTGGACTTTTGATAAAAAGAATATATGCTTAATTGAAATTCATGTTTGCATCCATTACAACTAAAATTCTGTTTTGCAAGAAGGTAAATTTGTCAATGCAAAACTAACCAAACATTGCAATTTATTTGAACCATTTTACACTTTACATATTTGCATTGTTTCCAAATGCAGCCTAAAGTTTTTGACTTGTTGAAMCCTGCCATAATGTTTGGTAATTGCAATCACCTCTCAACTTTTTCACACATTTACAAGTATACCCCCTCTATTGGAATCCTCTACCAAGAGGCATGAAAATGTTAAAAACACCATCGCAGTTACTTTTGATCAAAATGCTTATTTTTTTCAAATTTTCTCTTTATATCAATTGCTACTTGAAACCCTTCTAATCTCCTTTACCAAAATTGATGTATTTTTCAAGTTTGTCCTTTATATCAATCATTCATTGGTAAAGTTGTAATTTTAAACACTTTTGTTATTTTCTTGATCATAAAATTTGTATTGTCTTTTGTAAAAACAAACCTCAATAGCAATTGCATGGGTATATTGGATATTTTCATGCTTCTTGTTAGTGTGTTCTAACAAAATGATTTTACTTGCAACTGTGTCAAAAAGTCCAGAAGAGATGGATGATTACAATTACCAAACTTCAAAAAAGATTTTAACAATTGTCAAAAACTTCAGGAGAAATTTTTGCAATTTACCTTAATTTTACTAGAGTTGCCCAGGCCCCTAGGTCACTTATACAATAAACTGAAACAAATTTATTTATGTACTTTGAAAGTTAGATCTTTAACCCCCATTATATAGATATATCGTAAAAGAACATATTCTTTTTCTTTTAATTAAGCTTCTAATTAAACAACAGAAATTATTAATTGATAGACAGAAATTTAAGAAAGCAATAAAACCCATAGGTGAATCCTTATTAATAAGTAATAACTTACATGCATCGATCTCTTTATTTTTTCATTAGCACACGAAAACACTACTAAATACATAAATCACTCATCATGGGATTTATGATCACAACATCACATCTTAGCGAGTTTCCTCCCACCTATTCCGGGTTCAGAACTCGCCACTCGGTGGGAGGCCTCCTCGGTCGTATTGAGACCATTTGTAATCTTGCTGTCTATGACAACACTGGCTGTGATTGTATTAGTTCGAGACTGCCACAATGCTCCACCATAGATGACAACATTCCGATCACTTTGCAGAATGCATACATACTGTCCTTCTCCTTTGATGGTATTGGTTGCCCAAACTGCTCCACTGTAACCGTAGATAACAAGGTTTCCGTCACTCTGCATTTTGAGATAGCAGGCAACGCCCTTCCTATATGTGCCGGATGCCCACACAGCACTGTCATTGTCATATAAGACCAGGTTGCAGTCGTTCTGCATGGTCATCTATTGTTTCCATTGTTGAGTGACTCACCAAAATTAAGAATGTCGTTTGTATACGGTATGTTTCCGCCGGTGCTGACTGAAGCAAGGAGACCAATGATGGACGCCGGTAGGATGATAAGCTTAGCCCCAAGCGGAATTGCCATTGCTAATCACTAGCTACACTCCAATCAATCGATCAAATGATTCGTGATCCCAAATTCCCAAGCTTTGGTGCCACCCTATTTATATACATTTGCGGTAATGGGGGGTTGGATATTTTGGGGATGGATGTTTAGTTTGGTGCCCAAAAAAGGATAACAATCATCTCAGCGACAACCAAATAACACCGGGTTTTTGCAATGAAAGTGTGGGTTACATTCATGAAGCCATCAATATTCAACAGTACTTGCTTTATATTATTTTCAATTCACATCTGCGCCCCACAGTGCCCTATGTGCACATCTGAGAGTGCATTGGGAGTATCTCCCGTCCCGTGCTTGTCATTAGAAATGCACGGTTTGAATGTGACACTAACTGTGGGACGCCAATGTGATCTCAATTATTTCATGGGTAGGGCTGACGGGTCTGGATGTAGTAATAGCTAGAGATAATGTGTTTTTCATCTAAACGATTTTGTTCCCTTAGATAAAAATTATCCATTATTTTATTATTTTTATCAAATTAATTAAAAATAAAAACAATGAAAAAGAAAAATCTAAATGCATTGGAGTTGGGATTTATTTACATTTTTCTTTTTTATTATTTTTAATTATTTTGACAAAAATAATAAAATAATAAATAATTTCTGTCTGACAAAACAAAAACATTTGAATGAAAGACACATTAACTGAGATATGTGTTACACAGTTATTACGTGTTCACTCATTATGCTTACCTAACGCACCTAATACATCCGGACCAGGACTGACTGTATGGAGCTGACGAGAACTCTTCTCTACCATGGGGCCGGGACTCTCTTTTTCAAAGTTTTATTACCCGTCCGATTGATAGATCTTTTCCTCTGCATGAATTATCACTGAACATGAGGCGGGGACCAGGCCGGGTCAGCATAAATTTATGATTGGACCATTTCTGTCAACTGATTTTTGTTGTTATAACAGCAAATGCACCAAATCCGGATAATTTCATCTGCTGATGAGAACCCAGCAGTTTGGACAATTACCTCTTGCGACCTTGTATGATTTCCTCCTTGAGAAATACACCAAGAAATATAATTCAACTATGGGCTGTGGCGTTTAGGATTAATTCTTAAGAGTTCAAATCAGCCCCCCACAAGATAGTTTCTCACACCATCCCACAGTCGCGGGGATGTGCTGTGGGACGTTGTGGAAAACTATCTTGTGGGGGATTCATTTCAGTTCGACTCTTAAGGTGTTTCATTGGAATTCATACCTATTCTTCGCAGAGCTGTCCCAACAATGCCTCAAAGTATATATAGACCGTGTATTGAGAACATCCTATAATGACAAATACGAGAAATGTTTTTAAGGTACATTGAGATATGCATGTGAGACGTAGATGTAAACTCGTTTATTCAGAATGCCTATATACATTCTTTGTATTACAATTTCTCAATGAATCCTAGATACAATGTTAAAATTCTTAAATTTAATTTGATTTTTCTAAACCTATCAAGCACCCCCCCCCCCCCTTTCAGAGAAATTTTGTGATCTGAAACCATGTCAAACTAATTATCTCTTATCTCTAACGGGGTATAAGGACATTTTGAAAAGGGAAAAACTATGATGTCAGTAAGAAATGGTTAGAAGAATCAAAATACATCCATGAATTTGATAAATACCACATGATCGGTTATAATACCGATTGGTTGGTCACAAGATTTTAATATATTAGAAAAGTGGAGGTAGGGGAGTTTGAGATAAATTCTAAAAAGTCGAGATAAGTTGAATAGATATGCTTCATTCTCTGACTTGGGAGACTAGATGTACTGCCAATGCATCAATGACATGGTAATTTTTTATTTATAGATTTATTTTAATAGATGATAGGACCGTATTTAATTCATCAATTAGCTGATAGTTGTATTACAGGTTGTGAAATCAATCATTTTGTCCTATATGAGATCGAGTGGTTGTGGGTTATATACACATGATTATTTTATGGATGACTGTGTCCTTAATTATTTCATTCATCAATTAGCTAATAGTTGTGCTATTGATTATCGATCGGACATTATTATTCCCCACGAAAGTCGGATGAAATTGATTGATTGTGAGTTATGCACTTATCTCTGCATGGGGCATTCTTATTGACCCAACAACAAAACACACAATCTCACCCTCTCATTCCAACCTAATAAGATAACATAAAAGTTAAAAAAAAAAAACCCAAAAATCAATTAGAAACCAACAAAACCATTAACCTACACAAAGACACAAATACCAACTTAGTCACACGTCTCAGACATGATTCATACTTGTATGTTATTATTAATGGAAATCATATTATGGACATGACAACAAGTCCACAGTATGATTCATACTTGTATGTTATTCTTATTGAAACAATCAATACTTCCTTGCGATACTCTACTTAAATAGTATACACATGAAATCAAAAATAGAAAAATGTAAGAAAGAAAAAAAACACGAATCAGTAATAAAACAGCACCTGTAAAACATGAATCAATGAAAAATACATGACATGTGAAGTCTTTAATGTAATTAATTGAACTTTTGATATAATATACAATAAATATTTGTAAATACATCGTAATTAGACTTAAAAAAGGTTTATTTGAAACTATGATCCTCTGGTGTCTACTAATGGAAGTCTCGTATTGATTGAGCACTAGGACGAAGGGCAGTTTTACCATATAGAGGGGCCGAACAGACCAACCATAATTCCTTCACTATTGATGGGTGAGAAATGATATGTAGGGTGAAATGGAACTGATTGACTGAATGATTTTTGGGTGCAATAGTCTGATTGTATGTGTCAGTGACAATTCGTAAACAGTGATGACAACATCAAGTCTGATATTAATATTAGTCCCAGGTGCCCATAATGCACTACCATAAACAACACTCCCGTTACAGGATGCATATATAGTTTCCGTCTCCGGTATTGGTATTATTCGCCCCAACTGTTCTATCATCACTATAGATAACAAGGTTTCGTCACTCTTCATTGTTAAGGGTTTCAATGGATCGATTTTGGATTGGACCCCATCTAGTTTAAAATTAATTTGGACGGATTGGATGAACCAACAAGACATATTAGATTGGACCAATTTGGTCGAAAATATTTATTATATTGGATTAAGCTAATATCTAGTCCATTGATATAAGATAAGAATATATGTGTCAATGGACCAGATTTGGGTTGAAACCAATCTAAATCAAAATGAATTTGAACAAATTGGATTGTCCAAACATTGAATTGGACCGGTCCAAATTGGTCCAAAACATTCATTGGATTGGATTGGACCTAGTCCATTTATAATGGACTCACATTGGACTGGGTCAGATTGGAGCAAATCCAGTCCAATTGACACCCTATTCATTGTGACACAACAATTGGAACTATGCTGATATGTTCCTGATGCCTAGATAACGTTGTTATCTTCATATAAGACGAGGTTGTAGTCACTCTGATCAGTGTATAGTTGTTATAGTTGAGCGATTGTTTAGCATGGAGACTATTGTCTAATTATATTATATTGTTGCCATTGCTAATTGATGGTGCACGATCTGGTCGCTCCTAGCTGGAAGGCAGCTTGGATTGCATAGCAGGCCGGTCTAACTGCAAGACAGGTAGAATCAGAGAACCTGGGGTGGCTAATCCGGCATGGTCACTCCGATGTTTAAGTTAGTACTTAGCTGTGTGCAAGCTAAAAACTTGAGAATTATGAGAGCTAGAATGCACAACCGCACGTACCCGGGTCTCAAGGGCTGATGCCCTTATATAGCTGGGTTGTCGTAGGTCTCACGAAACACTCCCAAGATCCTTGGCCTGAGTCGTAGGAGTTTGTTCTACTCTGGAAGGTGGATAACGTGCTAGCTGATAGGGCCTATCATGTCCATCTGATCCGGGTGGGATGAGGATAAGGCCTACAGTCGTGAGGCGTGATCCTGAAGGGCTGGGAGACAATTGGCATGCTTCTAGAAATTTGCTACGTGTCACTTCGGCAGGCTTGGTCATCATGAGATGCCTGGGCTTCGGTGCTAGCCGAGGTGGCTGAGGATGCTGAGTCACACATCTAGTCGCCAAGTTGCATCCACGTGTCCTTTGCTTACTAGGTCGGGCCAAATTACCCAACATCAATTGCCCCCCACTCCCCCTACTAGGGGTCCTGACTTAGTGTGAGGAGGTCACGACAAGGTTAGGTCAATTTGGTCTGTCTTCCTCTGGGTCAGAATATGGTTCGAAGGACTGACATCAGCGAACCGCCCGGTTCAATCGAGGACCCAAATCACGTATCATGAACACATGGATGTCACGCGGATTCCAAACCCCGTGGACGTCAAAATGCGCTCTCAACTATTTTCACCTTGAGAGGCATACAACTAGTTTTTATGAGAATCGTAGGATCGCATCGATTTGGACCATTCAAGATCGGTTATCAAGGCTATAAATAGGGGCCTTGGGGTCCCATTTTGTCACCTTGCTTTGGAATTTACGCAATTTGGAGCTCGCGCTTTAGCTTCCAGGTCGGTGGTGTCCAGTCTTGTCTTCGAGGTCGCTTTCTCTTCTCTTTGGGTAAGCTCTATTCACTCCAGTTCATTTCCTTGTTCCAGTATGAGTAGTAGTAACTTTAGCTCTCTTAGTGTTAGTGAGTCTGACCAAGTTGAGGAGACCTCCTCGGCTCATGACTATGAGTCCGGTCCAGCTGAGGTAACCACCTCGGTTCAAGAACACGATGTTGGTGCAACTAAGGTGACCACCTTGGCATGCCCAATAGACTCTAGTCCGGCCGAAGATAGCCCTTTAGTTCGGGAGCATAAGTTATCCAATAAAAAGGCATCGTCCTCCAAACTGCCAAGCAAAAAGATTTCAACCCCCAAACGTGCTAGAAGATCCCAAGGTGTAGATAAGTTTGGTCCTTCAATTCTGTCACCCAAAAAACTCCAAGCTCTGATCGTCAAGTACAACCTTCCTGATAACCTTGGGTACTCTATCCCCTTAGAGGTATATCCCTGGCAACGCA